AGTGTTTATCATAAGATTTCATTAAAAGCATGAGAGAGATGAAAATCCTAAATGGGAATTATATTTTTCTTTGATCGAAAACATATGATGATGAAGCCTTGGAATAGTACAACAAATTTCAGAAAAGAGGATGTGCGCACTATTAAAAGGTAATTTAGTATTTGCTATATTTGGAATATTCTCTCTTAGGGCCTATGTGGCATTTTTATCTTTTCTATCTTTGTGTATAAATATGTGTACTAGGTTTCATTAATAATTCAATTCCTTACCAATCATTTGTAACAGCTTTTTATCATTCATCATTTTCTCTCTTCTTCCTCAATTTCATCACCTTGCACCAACAAATTGGTATCTAGAGCACTTGGTTCTTCTGAAATTCTGGGAAACACGAGTGAAAGTGATCCGTGTGTTTTATTTTGGTTCTTGATTTCTGTTGAATCTTGAACAAAATATGAACAGAATCACACTGATTTTGTGGGTTTGGGAAACACTGAGTGAGATTTGAGATTTGTGCAAGGTTTAAGATAAGTGGAGGCAGTAGTTTGAACACTAAACTTCCAGTTTTTGATGGCAAAAGCTGGAACAGATGGATGATACATATGCGTGTTTTTTTGGTGCTCAAGATGTTCTAGATCTTGTTACCAATGGTTATGTTCCAGTTGCAGCAGATGCTACTGAAGAACAAAGATCTGCAGAAAGAGATATGAGGAAGAGGGATCAAAAAGCTCTGTTCTATATCCATCAGTGTGTGGATGAAAGTGTGTTTGAGAAGATTGCTAATTCGACGACGTCGAAAGAGGCATGGGATATACTGGTCAGATGTTACGGTGGTGACGCGTCAGTGAAGAAGATGAAGCTTAAGTCCCAGCGAAAGCAATATGAGAATCTCAACATGAAGAACAGTGAGAAAGTTTCTGAGTACATCTCCAGAATGATTCTGATCACTAATGAGATGAAATCTTGTGGAGAAACACTTTCTGAACAGGTAATCATAGAGAAGATTCTTAGGCCGCTTACTCCCCAGTTTGATTATATTGTTGTTTCTATTGAACATTCTAAAAATCTAGAAACCATGAGAATAGAAGACTTGCAAAGCAGTCTAGAAGCGCAGGAGTTGCGTCTGACTGAAAGAACTTATGAGAGGGAAGTTGAGCAAGCTCTGAAGGCTTCTTTTTTCAAGAAGGACCAGAAGCAGAATAGACGTGGTGATAAATTCCAGAAGTCAGAAACCTCAACTTCTGATGAAAAGAAATATCAGAAGGGAAAGGAAAGGTATGACAAGAAGAAGGTTCAATGTTACTGTTGTAAACAGTTTGAGCATTTTTCCAGAGATTGTAGAAACAAAGGAAGGAAATTAGAAGAAGCAAATATAGCCATAGGAGATTCTGATGATGAATCTGTGCTACTGATGGCTTCTAATTCTGATGGAAATTGTTCAGAAGATTGGTGGTATATGGGCACTGGCTGTTTAAACCACTTGACTGAGAACAAATAATGGCTGATAGACTTTGACTCCAGAAGGAGAACAAAAATCAGATGTCCTGATGATAAGTATCTTAATGCATAAGGTATGAGAAATGTCAGAGTCAAAGTGAAGAATGGAAAAAACATTTTGATCAAATATGTTTGGTATGTTCCTGGAATTAAAAGCAATCTGATGAGTGTGGGTCAGCTCATTGAGAAAGGTTTCTCAGTTATTATGAAGGACAACCTATTGACATTATATGATTCCAATCAGAAGTTGATTATGAAGTCTGAGCAGGGAAGTAACAGAACATTCAAGGTGAATGTATAAATAACTAAAGCAGAGTGTCTTAGTGCAGAAGGCGCTGAAGGTGACAGTAAACTGTGGCACAAGAGGTTGGGGCACTTGAACTATAGAAGCTTAGGGCATCTAAGTTCTAAGAAGCTTGTACATGGCATTTTGAAGATTGTGAAGCCTGAGAAGTCATGTGAGATATGCATGAAAGGCAAGCAACCCAGATTGCCATTTGCATCAGAAGTAGCCCCCAGAGCGAAGCATACTTTGGGAGTAGTATATTCTGATGTGTGTGGACCATTTCCAGTACCTTCACTTGGAGGAAACAAATATTTTGTGTATTTTGTGGATGAGTTCACAAGAATGATATGGGTAACACTCATCAAGTTCAAGCATGAAGTGTTTACTGAGTTTCAGAAGTTCAAGATGAAGGCTAATAAGCATAGTGGTCAGAAGTTGAAGATTCTGAGAATGGATGGTGGAGGTGAGTATAACTCTACAAAGTTCTAGAAGTTCTGTGAGGAGAATGGAATAGAACATGAGGTTACTGCTCCATATACTCCTCAGCACAATGGTCTTGCTGAAAGAAGAAATAGAACTTTGCTTCATATGTCCAGAAGTATGCTGAAAGAGAAAAAGCTACCTCACATGTTATGAGGAGAAGTTGTTGCCACGTCAGCATATGTTCTGAATAGGTGTCCAACGAAGAAGCTGAAGGAAATTGTTCCTTTAGAAAAGTGAACTGGAGATAAGCAAAGTGTTAGCCATCTGAGGGTGTTTGGTTCTGTATGTTACAAACACGTTCCAGAAGCTAGAAGACGGAAACTGGATGATAGAAGCAAAGTAATGTTACTGGTAGGATACCACAGTACAGGTGCCTATAAGATTTGTTGTCCAGAAACCAACAAAGTTGAAATCAGCAGAGACATTATCGTGAAAGAGTCAGAAACATGGAATTGGAACAAGCCTCAATCAGATTCTGGTGTAGCGCCAACACCAGAGTTAGTTTCTGAAGATTCTTCATAAATTTCTAAAGACGAGTCAGAGTCAGAAGATGAATCTGATTCTGAAGACTCTGAAGATGAGCCAGAATCTCAGGGAGATTTTGATAGTGGATCTGATTCTGATCCAGATTCTGATGATGATCCAGAATCTGGTGGTGATTATATTTCTTGAAGGGAAAACTCTGAAGACATAGGGTCTGGAAGACAAGCTTCCATAAGTAACTCTGAAGGTGGTAATTCTGGACAAGGTCCATAAGCTAGCACTGTTCCAAGTTCTGGAGAAGCTTCAAAACAAGTTCAAAGGCCACAGAGAATCAGACAAATACCAAGTAGGTTTGCAGATTTTAACATGTTGCATGACACTGAAGTAGATTCTGAAGGAGAAGTCGTTCAGTGTGCCATGTTAGTAGATTCTGAACCAGTGGGCATTGAAGAAGCTCTCAAGAAGAAAGTATAGTTGAATGCCATGAAGGAATAACTTGAGGCTATTGAAAGAAACAAAACTTGGAAGTTGACAAAGCTTCCAAAAAAGAAGAAAGTCATCAGCGTCAGATGGTTTTTCAAGGTAAAGCTTAAGCCAGATGGATCAATTGGAAAACACAAAGCGAGACTAGTGGTTAGAGGTTTTCTTCAGAAACCCGGGCTAGATTACTTTAAGGTGTTTGCGCCTGTAGCTAGACATGAAACAATCAGACTGATGATTGCTTTAGCTGCAAACAAAAATTGGTCTTTGATACATCTGGATGTGAAGTCTGCATTTCTGAATGATCCGTTACAAGAAGAGGTATATGTGTCACAACCTCCTGGATTTGTGAAAAAGAATCAGGAAGGGATGATATACAAGTTACATAAAGCCTTGTATGGACTGAAACAAGCGCCCAGAGCTTGGAATCTGAAAATTGATTCATTTTTCAAGAGACAGAAGTTTCAGAAATGTGAGATGGAATATGACGTGTATGTGCAGCATTCTGGTGAAAATATGATTCTGGTGTGTCTATATGTTAATGACATATTGCTAACAGGAAGTTGTCCAGAAGATATAATCAAGTTCAAAGAAGTTCTGATGAATGAATTTGAGATGACAGATCTGGGAAATATGATATATTTTCTAAGGATGGAGATTTTGTACTCAAAGAAGGATATCATTCTACATCAGCTAAAATATGAACTTGAACTTCTGAAGAGATTTAATCTGCAGAATTATAAAGTTGTTGTGACACCATCAGAAACCAATCATAAATTGGATTCTGATTCTGATGGTGATTCTGTGGATGCTACGACCTTCAAATAGTTGGTTGGTTCTCTTAGGTATTTGTGCAATACCAGACCTGACATTTGCTATGCATTTGGAATGGTTAGCAGATTCATGAGTAAATCAAAGTGGTCTCATTATCAAGCTGCTGTCAGGATTCTGAGGTATATCAAGGGAACTCTGAAATATGTAGTGTTATTTCCTTCTAGAAGAAAGACAAAACCAGAATTAGTGAGTTATTCTGATTCTGACTGGTGTGGAGATAGAGTTGACAGAAGAAGTACTCCTGGTTACTTGTTCAAGTTTTTGGGAGGTCCTATTTTTTGGAGTTCCAAGAAACAGCCTGTTGTGGCTCTGTCAACGTGTGAAGTTAAGTACATTGTAGGTGTTGTAGCTGCATGTCAAGATGTTTGACTTCTGAATCTTCTGGAGAATTTGAAGATTGAGATAGAGAAACCTATGAAGCTGTTGATTGATAACAAGTCTGCAATCAATCTTGCCAAGAATCCAGTGTTGCATGGAAGAAGCAAGCATATTGAGACGAAGTATCATTTTCTGAGAAGTCAAGTGCAGAAAGGAGTGTTAGAAATTTTGCACTGTAGCACCCAGAAATAACTGACAGATTCTCTGACGAAGGCAATCAAAACATACCAATTTCTTCATTTAAGGAATGAAATTGGTGTTGTTAGTTTCTGATAGATACTAAATTAAGGGATGATATTAAAGGGTAATTTAGTATTTGCTATATTTGGAATATTATCTCTTAGTGCCTATGTGGCATTCTTATCTTTGTTATCTTTGTGTATAAATAAGTGTACTAGATTTCATTAATAATTCAATTCCTTACCAATTATTTGTAGAAGCTTTTTATCATTCATCATTTTCCTCTCTTCTTCCTCAATTTCATCACCTTGCACCAACATGCACAATTCCAAAATGGATTAGATTGGGGGAGTTGGATTTGAAGTATTGGGGAGAAAAAGCTATGTTTAAGATTGTGGGGAAAATAGGCAAACCGATGATGGTGGACAAAGCTACAAATCTTAGAGAAAAGCTATCCTTCCCAAGAGTTATGATAAAGATGAATATGAAGCAACATCTTCCAGATGAGGTGCGGTTTGAAGATGAGCTAGATCGGGAGATACAGGTACCCATTCAATATGAATGGAAACCTGAGCTATGAAACCATTGTAAAGGACTGGGATACAAAGCAGAAGACTGTAGAAAGCATAAGCCTACAAAGAAGGAATGGGTTCTGAAATAAGACCTTGCTAGGAGAGAGCCAAAGGAGGTGGAGAGAGAACTAACAGATGCTGAAGGCTTTCAGTTAGTCACCAAAGGTAAGAAACAGCAGAAGTCTCCTATTCTTGTGGACACTAGGGGTGTGCATTTTAACCGGTTCATCCAATCCATAACCATAAAATCGGTTTCCAAATATAAAAAATCCAAATCATTTGGTTATTAACTAACCCATTCCATTTAAAGAAAAACCAATAACATTGGATACCCATTTTATTGAAATTCAGTTATTGTTCCTGATCCAATTTACTAATTTACTCAAATATTAAAAGTATCTCTCTAAATTTCCAACATAGCTAAAACCGAACCATTACAAATTGAATACCTAGAATGACAGTTAATTTTTTCTTGGATTCCAACATTAAATATATTACAATAAATATTATTCTTTTAGTTTTAAAAATACACTATAATATATTTTACGTGCAAATGTGTTTGACTGACAACACAATAATGAAAGTTGAGTTTTTATCAATCTAAGACATGAATCTCCATTTTGAAATTCAACTTTCATAATACTATAACCAAATTTCAATTATATATACAACATCAAACACCAAACTTACTTAATAAAAACTCTTCACATATCGAATATTATTAGAAAATAAATAACACAGTAAAATAAAATATGTTGACTGAACCTTCCAATGTTTTCCAGCAAAGTATGCATAAAAGTTTCAAACCGATTAAGCAAAAAAAATGATTAAAACAAAAAATTGATGTAATTAGTTTTAAGAAAAACCAATCTTAACTGAATCAAATAAAAAACAGGTGGTTAGTAGAAACCGGTTTTAAATTGAATCAATCCAAATATAAACCAGTTTTGAAAAAATAATTCGGTTTTACAAAAACAGTTTTTAAGAATTAAACCAAACCATATATTTGATTCAATTCGGGTTGATTTGAGAACCATGCACATCCCTACTTTAGCACTCATTTTTTATTATTATTTATTCTTCATAATTTCTCACGAGTTTGACGGGTGGCTGAAGACATGAGGCATGAGAGATTCTTTTTCCAAAAAATGAGATTAAGTCTGATAATTTAGAGAAGATGATAATGAAAAGGAGATGATGATGACCTAATTCCCTCTTGCGTTGTTTTATTGTTTTATGATTTTCTCTTAATTATCTCAAGTATATATACACTATGATGCCTCAGGTTTTTCAAAATAAATTCATCAAAAATCTGTGATTGTGTGTTTGTGGTAGTTACAATATGTATCATGATAATGGATCTACATTTCTTTTCCAAAATAATGAGAAGCTATAACAACCTTGAAAGAGATATTTGGACAAAAATCAAAATAGATATATTTTTTTTTAAATTAGTGTTTTTAACATAAAATAATTTTAGAACTTTTAAAAATAAAAAACTATTTTTGATATAAAACTTTATTTTTTTAAATTGGTTTTAAAACTGGTTTTTTTTAATAAAATTGATTTTGAAACTGGTTTTTTATAAAGCTGTTTTGAAATTGATTTTTTTTTTAAATTAAAAATTGGTTTTTAGAAAAATCGGTTTAAAATTGTTTTTTTTTTAAAACTGGTTTTTATGAGAAACCGGTTCAAAACCAAACCGATCTACATATAAACCGGTTTTAGAAATATAAACCAATTTTAATGAAGTAGTTTTAAGATCCAAACCAAATCATATATATGGTTCAATTTGGTTTGGTTATTGATCCATGCACACCCCTAGTGGACACTAAGATAATGAACACCTTTCATATTTTAGCTAATATACATGATGGTTAGGCCCAACAATAGATGAAAAATTCTTAACAACCTTTGTTTATAGTCACAATGATGAAGCCAACAGAGGAGTTCTCTAGAAGGATCTCAGTGAGTTAGCCACCAAGTTCCCTTATGTTGTTGTGGGAGACTTCAATGATATCCTGGCCAAAGAAAAAAGAATAGGGAAGAAGGTTAAATACATCAGCTATATTTCCTTTCAGAAGTGTGTTAATGATTGTAGCCTGGAAGACATTAAGTACACTGGCAATTTTCATACTCTGAATAATAAACAAAAGGGGGATGATAGGATTTACTCCAAAAATGACAAAACTATGGCTAATCAAGAATGGATAACAAAGAGGTAAACTCCACAACCTTGACTCTAATTCCAAAAGGAAAATGTACCAAATCTATCAGTGACTACAAGCCTATTGCATTATGTAATGTTCTATATAAGATAGACTTAGGCAAGGGGACCCAATGTCCCCTTTACTGTTTGTATTAGGCATGGAATATATGTCTAGAATCATGAATAGAATAGGGAAGCTGGATAACTTTAAGTTTCATGATAGATGCAAAACTCTAAAACTTAACCATCTCAGCTTTGCTGATGATGTTTTGATTTTCTATCATGGTGATTTTGTCTCAATCCACTACCTCTTACAAGGTCTTAAGCTTTTCTCTAAGACATCAAGGTTGCACCCTAGTGAATCCAAAACAGAAATATACTATTGTGACATGGATGATAGGGAAACTCAAAGAGTTATAGATGTTTCAGGTTTTAGAAAGAGTAATATCCCCTTTAGATACCTAGGCATCCCTATAAATTCTAAGAAAATCTCCAATAAGGACTGCCAATTTCTTTGATGAAACATGGGTAGAGTATAAAGCCCCTCCTCATAGAAGTTGGTATTGGAAGAAGTTGGTAGAGGTTAAAGATCAAATTAAAAGCCTCACAAGCATTCAAACCTTCTTTGCTGAAAAGTATAAAATCAAAAATGGCTGCAAGATTCTCAATGGAGACATAGAGAAACTAGGGTGGACTAAAGTAGTTTGGGCTAAGAGCAATATCCCAAAGCATAGCTTTGTAACTTGGCTGGCAATACAAGATAAGCTTAAAACCAGAGAGAGATTGAAGAAAATGAAGATCATTGATAATTCTGACAACACTCTGTGTGGCAAATAGGAAGAAACTATAAATCATATTTTGTTTGATTGTAAATACATCAATATATGTCTGGACTTGGTGAAACATTGGCTTGGACGGAACATTGAGAATAAAAATCTGAAGTTGACTCTCAGATGGATTAGCAGAGAAAAGCTGAGCAGGTTCAAGACTAGTGTTTATGCTACTGTCCTAGAAGCATTGTTCTACAATATCTGGAGAAACATGGATAATGCTCTTTGGAATCAAAAAGTGGATAGGCCTGAGGTGATGGTGCAAAAGATTAAAGACAATATCAACCAGAGCTAAGTCATGCATGGTTCCCTATATCTGAAAATGAGTAGCGAGATATAGACTATTTGGGTAGTACTCAAGTGTTTGTATTATTTTTATGAATGTATCTATTTTTTCTTGTTTTGATCTTTCAAAAGCATAGCCAATCAAAAAGATTGAATTATCAAAGAGATTGAAGAGTTTTTATTTCAATTAAACCCTTGAATCTTCATGTCATTATACTTCACGTTTTTGTTCCAGTGTGAGAGACTCAACAGTTTTAGTTTGAAATTTGCTATCTAATTACAATGTCACAATTTGGTTGTTATTTCGCTGAAGCTAAGTTATATCAATTCTTTTTTTGACATCCTAATTTAAATCTCTCAATTTATAGTTATACCAATTATTTTTTGACGTCCTAATTTAAATGTCACAATTCATAGGGTTTGATGGTTATAATGTTACTTTTTATATTGCTTGAATTTAGCTAACAAAATGCTTATCAAACTGAGCTTAGTTTTGTTGGTTTTGGGGTTAAACATGTTTCACCAGCACCCAATCACTTAAAGGGTTAGAGGTAAGAATGTGGAAAATCTAATTCTCACATATCTATGGATAAATTTTTGTGTTATGTTAATTTATTTTGCCATGGTCTTGGTGTTTGAAGTAAATGGGGATGCTTTGTCTAGAGTATAATGTGTGCATTAGTTTTTCTTTCTTGTCCGATGTAATTTTTGGAGATGTTTGGATCTGTTTATTTTGAAACATGGTATTTTTTTTGGCAAAATATTTATTTTGGTCTCTTAATTATAGACCATAGTTCAGTTTGGTCTTTAACTTTTTTTCGTGTCAAATTGATGCCGTAATTTTCAAAACGTAACCACGTTAGTCCTTCCGTTAGTGAACTGTTAGTCAAAGTTAAAAAACAGGCTCCAGGTGACATTTGACTTGCAGAAGTGGCTAATTGGAGTCCAGATGAAAAAAGTAATTGGGTTTAGGGTTTTTTTCAACACCATTTATACTCTCTCTCTCACACTCATTTTCACGCCTTGTTCTCTATCTCACCTTCAATTTTGCGGATCAACCTCTTCGCTTAATTGTGCTACGGCTTTGTCTCATCTTCGCTCAATAACTTTGACTCATTCGCGATTCTTCACTGTTGCTTCCCCATCATTTTTTCGAATCTGTTTTGAGTTTCATTTCAGAGCAAGCATAAACAGAATAACATACACGATGAAGAAGAAAGAAGCATAAATGCTTACCTACCAGAAACTGGTCTGATGCGTCTGATGACAGAAAATCAGTGACCCATGTATGCGTTTATAATTTTTCTGCACAATTGTCTCTTCTTCTCTACTTCATTTTCGATTTCTTTGTGTTTTATGTTGTTTTCTATGAAGTTATTGTTGTTGGTTCAGAGAGCATAGAGACTGAGAAATAAACTCGGGTTGAAGGTTGAATGTTGAAGATGAAATGAGACTGCAGGGATGAAATGAGACCAGCATCGAGTTGTTGACGTTTTTTTCTGCTCAATTTGTGCTTTTTTCGGTTCCGATATATTCATTTAATTTTTGTTGTTGATTTTGAATGATTTCTGAAATTGGGGTTTTAGTTAGGTGGAAAGTTGGTTTTTTCAGACGATTAAGAAGATAGCAAGTGGACCGAAGTGTCCTGTTATTAGAAAGAGGATCCAATGTGTATGAATCTTCATGATTTGTTTCTTTGTTGTTTTGTTATTGTTTGATATGCGAAATATTAGATCAATGATGGAAACACAGCTGTTGGTGATGGTGAATAAAGATGATGAAGATAACATGTCAGCTCACCTGCCACGTAGGTAAAATTAACTGACGTTTGAGCCCAACTGACGGAAAAGACTTGTTTATTACGTTTTAAAAATTAAGGGACTAATTTAGCACGAAAAAAAGTTAAGGGATCAAACTGAACCATAACCTATAGTTAAATGACAAAAATAAATCTTTTACTTATTTTTTTAAGACGATTTTTTTCCACATTTTAAAATTATTTGTGAGGGTTTGAACTTCCCTAGCCCAACTGCCCCAATTTAAAGTAGGATAGGTTTCTAAAAACTCACGCAAATAAATTGAGGAGTTTGTAAATTTTGTATAATACAATGGTTTTTAAAACTCGGGGAAATTGCTTTGCGAGGGTAAAAAAAAACCCAACAAGTTGTATAAACCCGTCTAACAATTTGGCACAGTTTTTTGTAGTGTTAATTGAAGAAAAGTATAATGAAGAGTTGAACGGTGCGAAATCAATGTATACACTTCTAATACAATCATAGAAGATTAATTAGATGATTAATAAGAATATAATTGTCATTATCTTCTTCCTCGGAAATATTATTATAAGGGAAGACTAAAAAAAACTATGATTTTGATTTGGGTAAAATAATTCATATATTTCCGTTTTGAATAACTTTTTTTTTGTTAAACAAGAATATGTCAAGTGCCAACCATTACTATAAGTAAGTAAATTAAAATAAAAATATAATTATTGAGAGAATAAAATTTTGGATCATATACCTTTAATTTAAAAAAAAAATGTGTCATTAATATACAGAGATATTACAAATAAATCTTATTATGGGATAGAGAATTAATCCGCAGATTTTTTTTTGTAATGATCAGGTATTAAAAAAAAAATTCGTAAATAACCACGTTTCGGAAAAAATTACGCAAATAATCATGTTTCAGATGGCTCATCAAAGGAGGAGCCATCTCACTTGGCGCCTCCACCAGCATTTTTACCCTAGGCGTCATCTCACTTTGCGCCTCCTCTCTCTTTTAGCCAAGTGAGATGGCGCATGCTCTTTAAAAGTGAGAGTAGGCGCCATCTCACTTGGCTCCTAGGGCAAAATGCTGTTTTTATAAATAATTCGTCATTTTCTCCGTCATTTCTCACATTTTCTCGCACTGTTTTCTTATTTTTTACTCTGTTATTTGCGTCATGACACCGCCCATGATTTTTACCAGAGATGGTTACGTTATCTTCTCCGCCACGAAACCTGCGATGAAAATGAAATTCTGGCACATTCACTCCATGGAGCGTCTGAAGCGGAAGTTGATGCGATGGCTAGATGGAGACATTGTGGAGGGGGGGGGGGGGGGGAATTCGAAGGATCCAGCGAAGATGAACAACAACCTCACATGCGACTGGAAGACCTAATGTGTGGTTAGAGGAAGTCAAAACTGACAACGACATAATGTTGATGATGCATGAGTCAAATGAAATTGTTTTAACAGTTGTAATTTTGTAGACGGAATATCGTGTTTTATTTCTTGTACGCGCAATATTTATTGTAGCAAATACTGTTAACGAAAAACCCTAATGTTTACAACATAATTAAGGAAAGATTTTATGTATTACAATTTTTATGTGGTCGAGGCAGACGCCCGATTCGGACAATTTTTGCGATTGTGTCCGACCTAACGGCATAAACCACACTTTCTTTCCAGCTTGTCAAGGTCATCCATTTCGGTTGTGATGCGCTTACTTTTGGGAAAACCCTTCTTGTTCCTTCGCATTTTGTCATTGTGCCACACTATTTCACCGTTGTATGCAGGCCAATAATCTAGTTTTGCTACCAAAGGAAAGCTGTTGTTGTAAATGTTGAGCAACGTTTCAGATTTGTAAATGTGTGACAGAAGTTCTAGCGCGTCTTGATGGGTATAAGCACAAGCGGAAATGACATGAGAGAAAGGCATACAAAAGGCTTGAAACTTGCCACAATCGCACCAACGAGAAGGTAGTATAACCTTATATTCTTGTCTTGGCAGGCCTTCGTTGTGGTCGATTGTCTCTTTCACAATGAAGTTGTGACTGTGTCGGTCAAACCGTATAACCATATGAGTGTTGGCTTTGGCACTTTCTGCCTTAATGTACTTCATGCAGCTTTCACTCCATAGTTGTCCAAATTGCAACACCGCATTCCATATTTCACCTCTTTTGGCAAACAACGAAGCCATCCTAAAATACGTAGATTTTACCAAAGCAGTGATCGAGAGGTTTCGTATGCCTTTGAATACCCCATTCATCGATTCAATAAGATTTGTTGTCATGTGCCCCCATCTTTGGCCATTGTCGTATGACCTAGTCCATTTTTCCACCGGAATATTGTCGATCCACCTACCGGCTTCCAGATTTGACAAACGGATCTCGTTGCGGTAATATTTGAACGTGGGTTGTGTCAATGCATATCCCGCATTCATAACCGCTTTCCTTAGTGTTTTGTCCTTGATCTCCCTCGTGAAATTTTAGACGATATGCCTAACGCAATAGACATGCGTAGAAGGAGGGTCATGCCAACCCTTTGCAGGATTATTGTAGGCACTTTCAATGGAGGCATGTCTGTCTGAGATCAAACAGAGATCTGGTTGAGGAGCCACATGTGTTCGCAGGTTTTTCAGAAAAAAGCTCCAAGCACCACCGGTCTCCCCCTCGACTAGGGCAAAGGCAATTGAGAAAATGTTGTTGTTGCCATCTTGTGCAACTGCCATCAGTAGCGTGCCTTTGTATTTCCCATACAACCAAGTCCCATCAATTTGTATAATTGGTTTGCATGATGCAAACCCTATGATGCAAGGTTGAAATGCCCAAAACACTCGACTGAATATTTTGTTTCCGTTTAGTTGACTACCATCTTGGGCGTATGCTGGCACTGTTTCCAGAACGTAAACAGTAACCGGAGAATAAGTCTTGAGTGCATTCAGGTAGTGAGGAAGTTCTTGGTATGACTCCTCTCAGTTTCCGTACACCTTTTCAATCGCCTTGGTCTTTGCTAACCATGCCTTACGGTAAGATGAAGTATAGTTAAAAACCGTGGTGATGTGGGAGATGATGGTTTTCACCTTCAAAGATGGGTCGTTGCTGACGAGGGGTAGGATTTCTTGACAAATGAGATCGTAATTAAGTTTTCGACGGTCCTGTGATTGGGTAGAACTGACACAAGTGTGGGTAGACATGGAACCTATGATCCAACAATCACCTCTTAATTTGTATGATACAGTGAGCTT